AGAAAGAAAGAAAGTGACCAAATCACAGAGCGTTGAACTAAAAAGAGCCAGAAGTGGTTTTTGTGCATGTGCATGTGCGTGTGCATGTGCGTGCGTGTGTGTGTGTGTGTGTTGGGTTTTGTTTTGTTTTGTTTTTTTGAGACAGAATTTCGCCCTTGTTGTCCAGGCTGGAAGTATAAGAAGTGTAAGTTACTATTTGTAACCGTGGAGGCTGGGAATATCAGGGGCCTAACCCATGGCTGGATGGTTTCCTAGATGAACCATGACCCATTTCTTGTGAGCTATCCACAGGCAGCAGAGTGGAGTGGGACAGAGGAATAGTATAGGAACTCTTTCATCGTTGGTAGAACTTAGCCTGAATTCTCTACGTATGGGGGTAGGAGGCATTAAACTTGCACAGCCTTATCAATGTAAGCCCTGTTCATTGATATAACTGGCAGCAACTTCGGCCAGAAATAAGAATAGCCAAGCGTTGTCCTCTGTACCATCAAAAGCAAAGAAACACAGGCCAGGAACACTGCTAGGATGAACCAGGAAGCCCTGTCCCAGCACTCAGGGCAGAGTGCAGGTGCTTATGAGTCTTGGGCAACTTGAGTGGGGTTGGCAACTGCACAAAACTCTGGGAACCTATGTCCTGAATCAGTGTGATCCAGACACAAGACCTGGAATCAAAGGAGGTCATTTAGGAGCTTTAAGATTTGACTGCCCTGTTGGACTCTGACTTGCATGGTGTCTGTAGTCACTTTGTTTCGGCCAATTTCTCCCATTTGGAATGTCTACATTTACCCAATGCCCAAACCCCCACTGTATCTAGGAAGTAACTAGCTTGCTTTTGGTTTTACAGGCTGATAGGCAGAAGGGATTTGCCTTGTCTCAGATGAGATTGCGGACTTTTGAGTTAATGCTGAAATGAGTTAAGACTTTGGGGGACTGTTGGGAAGGTATGACTGGTTTTAAAATGTAAGGACATGAGATATGGGAGGGGCCTGGGTGGAATGATACTGTGTCTCCACCCAAATCCCATCTTGAATTGTAACTCCCACAATGCTCACGTTGTTATGGGAGAAACCTTGTGAGAGATGGTTGAATCACGGGGGCGAGTCTTTCCTGCACTGCTGTTGTAATAGTGAATGAGCCTTACAAGATCGGATGGTTTTTTGTTTTTTTTTTTTTTTTTTGAGACAGAGTTTCACTCTTGTTACCCAGGCTGGAGTGCAATGGCGCGATCTCGGCTCACCGCAACCTCCACCTCCTGGGTTCAGGCAATTCTCCTGCCTCAGCCTCCTGAGTAGCTGGGATTACAGGCATGCGCCACCATGCCCAGCTAATTTTTTGTATTTTTAGTAGAGACGGGGTTTCACCATGTTGACCAGGATGGTCTCGATCTGTTGACCTCGTGATCCACCCGCCTCGGCCTCCCAAAGTGCTGGGATTACAGGCTTGAGCCACTGCGCCCGGCCGGATGGTTTTAAAAATTGGAGTTCCCCTGCACAAACTCTCTGCCTGCTGCCATCCATGTAAGACGCAACTTGGTCCTCCTTGCCTCATCAGCCATGTGGAGTTGGAAGCCCATGAAGCCTTTTCTAGTATAAATTACCCAATCTCAGGTAAGTCTTTATTAGTAGCATGAAAATGGACTAACACAGAGACATTTCATGGAAAATTGCAGGGATGTGTTAAAACTCATTGAGAGGGCATGTGGGAGAGCATGGATCAGTCATTTGGGCATTAGTACCAGTATTGCCTTGAATTCTTGCAAATATGTTCAGCATCTTGACTGGGAATTGCACCTCAAGCTGGGTGCAATGGTTCACACTTGTAATACCAGCACTTTGGGAAGCAGAGGCAGGAGATCTGCTTGAGGTCAGGAATTCGAGACCAGCCTGAGCAATATAGAGAGAACCCCGTCTCCACAAAGAAACTTAAAATTAGGCAGGCGTGGTGGTGTGCACCTCTACTCCTAGTTACTTGGGAGGCTGAGGTAGGAGGATTGCTTGAGTCTGGGAAATTGAAGCTGCTGCAGTGAGCTATAATAGCACCCCTGCACTCCAGTCTGGGTGACAGAGCAAGACTCTGTCTCTCTCCTAAAAAAAAAAATTAAAAAGGAATTGCAGCTCATAGAAAAGCTGGAGTTTAGGCTGGGCGCAGCAGCTCATGCCTATAATCCCAGCACTTTGGGAGTCCAGTGTGGATGGATCACAAGGTTAAGAGATCAAGACCAGCCTGGCCAACATGGTGAAACCCCATCTCTGCTAAAAACACAAAAATTAGCCGAGTATGGTGGCAGGTGCCTATAATCCCAGCTACTCAGGAGGCTGAGGCAGATTAATAGCTTGAACGTGGCAGGCGGAGGTTGCAGTAAGCCAAGATTGCGTCATTGCACCCCATCCTAGGCGACAGAGCAAGACTTCATCTCAAAAAAACAAAAAAAAGAAAGTGGCCGGGCGCGGTGGCTTACGCCTGTAATCCCTGCACTTTGGGAGGCCGAGGCGGGTGGATCACGAGGTCAACAGATCGAGACCATCCTGGTCAACATGGTGAAACCCTGTCTCTACTAAAACTGCAAAACATTAGCTGGGCATGGTGGCGCGTGCCTGTAATCCCAGCTACTCGGGAGGCTGAGGCAGGAGAATTGCCTGAACCTAGGAGGCGGAGGTTGCGGTGAGCCGAGATCGCGCCATTGCACTCCAACCTGGGTAACAAGAGTGAAACTCTGTCTCAAAAAAAAAAAAAAAAAAATCTCCCTAGAAGACTGCATCTGTGGCCGGGCGCAGTGGCTCACGCCTGTAATCCCAACACTTTGGGAGGCTGAGGTGAGTAGATCACCTGAGGTCTAGACCAGCCTGGCCAACATGGTAAAACCCCATCTCTACTAAAAATACAAAATTAGCCAGTTGTGGTGATGCATGTCTGTAATCCCAGCTACTTGGGAGGCTGAGGCAAGAGAAGTGCTTGAACCTGGGAGGCATAGGTTGCGGTGAGCTGAGATTATGCCATTGCACTCCAGCCTTGGCAGTAAGAGTGAAAATTCATCTCAAAAAGAAAAAAAAAAAAGAGAGACAAGATTGCATTTGTAGGTGACTTTTGAGATGCTGAACTAGCACCATCCTCCCATGGCTGTATCTTTACTCACTGTAAGCTTATGGGCAGCTGCTGCTGGAAAGAGGCCTGTGTGTGTTTGGGCAAAGAGTCCCCCAGAAAAAGGCAACATTTCAGGAGCTGGCCAACAGTAAGACCGAGCAGTTATCAGTCTGGAAAACAAGGCCCTAAGGGGAGAAATCACTATATCCCCTACAAAGAAGGTCATCACTTACAACGATTTGTTAAGCAAAATTGATCTCTGTCTCATGAGGAACCAAAGAGGTCTGCTGTGCCAAGGAGCGTACACTTCCTGCCATCTTTAGCTCACTTGGCTTCTGAATCCCTGAACTTCACCATCTCCATAAGAGCCCATGCTTCTGTCATTTTTCAGAGTGGTCTCACCCCCTAAAGACTTAGACTTTGAATTCACCTTTCCACTGCAGCCATAAACATCTTCCCCATGCCCCATTCCTTCTCTCCTAGGGACTTACTCTTTATCCCCAACACAACTTCCAGTTTTGGGGCCTCTTTTTCCTCAGAAAAAGGAGCCCTCTCTTGCTGTCTCTTTGTCACTCGCCAGCCATAATCCCATTACACCCTTTCTCGTTATGGGGCACCCTCAATTCTCTTTCCCCTTTGGTTTCTGTCCCTCCAACCTGCCAGTTCATTGCCTGGGCCAACCCAGGTCCGCTCTTTGCTTCTGAGCCGACACTCGTTGCTACAGAAGATCAAGAAAGCTGGCTGATTACCAGTGGTGAAAGATGCTGATTTCAGGCCCAGCTACTGGCAACTGTGGATTTAGCCTTTCCACTTGCTCCCACTATTGACCATTCCAACTTTATCCTAATCACCAGTCATCCAATAATTGCCCAATGTTCTCTCTTACATTTCTGGGAAAAGAGGCCACCTGTCTAAACTGTAACCTCTGCTTCAGCCTCAAAATATCTCCATAGCATCATCCCTTCCTTTCTTCCCTTCCTTCGGTCCTAGATGAACGAGTTTCACTATGCCTTTGTAGTGATAACCACCACCTCGTCTTCTACTCCTATTCATTTATTCATCGTTCATTCCAGCACGTTAGGAATTCCTTGTTCTTTCTTGCATGGTAGGAGTTCATTGTTTATTCCTGCATGGCAGGAAACAAGGAGGATGCAATTGTGAACAAAACCACCAAAGCCTCCACGCTCAAAGAGCTCACCATCTAGCAGGACAGAAAATCAGTGATGATTACAAAAATCCTCTTTCTACTCCAGGACTCTGCTCCATCTCAAAGGGATGGTCTCAAAACCATCCCTTTCTCTCTTCTTAATTTTCTTCATTCCTGCCTCCCTCTTAAACACTGTGTTCCTGCCTCAGCCATCAGAGTATTCCTGGCCAGCTTGCTCGACTCTCATGAGGCTCCTAAGGCTTCTCTGTTGATGACCGTGAACAACGTTGGTGCTCAGCCCAGATTCCCTGTTGACTAGAGTGGGTACAGCCCAATCTCAGCAGCAAACCCCAGAGGGGTTCCCAGGCTGCTCGTGCTTTTTCCACGGGCAAAGAGAAGTCCCTGAAGCTTCCCTTTAGTGGGTTAGAATTATCCCATTATCATCAGCACAAAAGGACACTTTCAGTTCTTGTCTTCTTTGATCTCTTAGAAGGATTCCACACCCTTTTTTTTTTTTTTTGAGATGGAGTTTCACTCTGTTGCCCAGGCTAGAGTGCAGTGGTACAATCTTGGCTCACTGCAAACCACCTCCTGGATTCATGCGATTCTCCTGCCTCAGCATCCCGAGTAGCTGGCATTACAGGTAAGCACCATCACACCAAGCTCATTTTTGTATTTTTAGTAAAGGTGGGATTTCACAATGTTGGCCAGGATGGTCTCGAACTCCTGACCTCAGGTGGTCCACTGGCTTCTGCCTCACAAAGTGCTGGGATTACAAGCATGAGCCACTAAGCTCCACCAGATTCTCTTCTTAAGATCAAGTCCAAACTCCTTAAAATTGCTTGCTTATAAAGTCACTGGCAACCTGCCTCCTATGTTCTCATTTCTTCTTTTATCACTTGCTCTCCCACATTCTGCCTTCCAGCTATATTTAACTTATTTAATTTTCCTAAGAGATGGTGCATTGTCTGTCTTCTGGCCACAGCCCATGCTGTTCTTCCTGTTTGTTGTTCTCTTCTTATTAAACAATAAGAATGTTCATAATGTTCTCAGATGGCCTCAATTTCCATGTACCTCTCTCTTTGGCTATCCAAACAAAGTCATTGTTCAGGTTGTTTGCTCAGAGTTCATCTCAAAGCTTGGCAAGTGAGTATTTTATATTTTAAATTATCTAAAAATCACAGAGTAATACTTTCACAGATGTGTCTCATAATCAGATTATTTTTAATCAGATTATTTTTAAACTAATATGTCAATATTGCTTTGTAACTAGAAAATATTTAGTCTGTTTATATATAATCCCTGACGTATGGGATTTAATCTGTCATCTCGTACTGTACTTTTTTTTTTTTTTTAGCTTTACCTGTGTTTCTTTCCCTCTCCTTTCCTCAGTTCTCTTTTTGATTAAGTAAACATTTGTCTTTTCCAGTTTGGATGATTTTTGGTCTGTCTCTGTTCTCAGGGCTAGCCTGAGAAATTAAGGCATGCATATTTACACAGTCTAAATGTAGTAAAACTTCACAGATAATGTAAGAATCTTTCTTTGCCTGTTCCTGATTTTGACATTATTTTTGCCTGGTATTTTAATTTCATATATATTTTAAGGCCCACTAGACATTACAATTACTATTTTACATAATCAATGTTCATTTATATTTGCTCACCTATTTATCACTGTCTTTGTTTTTCATTCCTCCTTGCATCTCATATGTTCCATCTGGGATCATTTACTTTCTGCTCAAAGCATATCCTTTCACATTTCTTTGAAAAGTGTCTCCTGGTGACACACTTAGTTTTTACTTGTCTGAAAATGTCTTTATTTTGCTCTGTTTCTTAGAAGCTGTTTTTACTAGGTATAGAATTCTAAGTTGGCAGTTCTTGCCCCTTAGCGCTTCAAGATTCCGTTCTATTCTCTTCCATCTTTTTACATCACTGTGAGTCCATGCCCAGCTCTCCTAACCTCCTGGCTCCTAGTAACGGTTTTCTTTTGTCTTTATGTCTCTGTTTTGCAGTTTCATTGTAATGCATCTCATATAGATTGCTTTTTTTGGGGTAATCTATTCTGCCTGACATTTGCTGGGCATGTTTTATCTTTGGACTAGTACTATGCATCAGTTCCACAAAAATCTAAGCCATTATCTTTGGAATATTTTCTCTGTCCCACTCTCCCCCTTCTCTTGTCTGGTACGTCAATCAAATGAAAGCATCTAGTGGTTTAACCTTGAGGACAGAATCACTTATTTATACCAGAGGATCCGTCCAATGTTGAAAACAAAACCCGTCCGGGCACAGTGGCTCACACCTGTAATCCCAGCACTTGGGGAGGCTGAGGTGGGCAGATCGCAAGGTCGGGAGTTTGAGACCAGGCTGGCCAACATGGTGAAACCCCATCTCTACTAAAAATACAAAAAATATTAGCTGGGCATGGTGGCACATGCCTGTAATCCTAGCTACTCAGGAGGCTGAGGCAGGAGAAATGCTTGAACCCAGGAGGTAGAGGTTGCAGTGAGCTGCAAATGTGCCACTGCACTCCAGCCTGGGCAACAGAGTAAGACTTCGTCTTAGAAAAAAAAAGGCCATTTTACTCAACTCAGAAAATATTTCTTGAGTAAACTTGGACAGTGGTTAAATGTCTAATTCTCCTAGGTATAATTAATCACAGGCCATGCTAAGTTAAAAAATAACACAAAACGAGGTTTTTATCTACTTCATTTAGAAAGAGTTGGAAGAGTATGCCAGGCACCCTGGCTCACACCTGTAATCCCAGCACCTTGGGAGGCTGAGGAGGATCACGAGGTCAAGAGATTGATACCATCCTAGCCAACATGGTAAAACCCTAACTCTATTAAAAATACAAAAAAAAAAAAAATTAGCTGGGCATGGTGGCATGCACCTGTAGTCCAGCTACTTGGGAGGCTGAGGCAGGAGAATCACTTGAACCCAGGAGGCAGAGGTTGCTGTGAGCTGAGATTGCACCACCGCACTCCAGCCTGACAACAGAGCAATACTCCATCTCAAAAAAAAAAAAAAAAGGAAAAGAAAGAGTTGGAGGAATTCAACCTAATTTTATAAAAACTTTGTAATGCTCCATAACAACTTTCAGTTATCAACACCAAAAATGTGTATCCCACCTCTTACTGCCTATTTTCCTTGGAAGAAGTTGCGGTCTTTTTCTGCCTTTCATATCATTACCTAAGAAGGGATTATTTCCATGTAAAGTCAGTGAAATCCTCATAAGTTATTCAGGTGATTTTTCTCTGAGAGTTGATGATGGCTCTGGCCCAGAATTACTAAGAAAAGGCTCTAAGAAACAAACAGATGGGCTCTCCACCCTCTGTAAACTTTCTTCTTCTAATTCAGCTCACCTTTCTGTTCCTACAAATGCCTTGTACTGCATGATAAAACCGTAGGCTGAGGGCTTCACATGGGCTCCCTGGAACCGTGTTGAGAGTCACAACTGAGCCTGCAAAGTCAACTGTGGCCTTACAATGAATACTTGGGATCCAAGAAGCTCCTAAGAAATAAGATAAAGACATTTACAAATGCCAGATGTGGGCCAGGTGCGGTGGCTCATGCCTGTAATTCCAGCACTTTGGGAGGCTGACGTGGGTGGATCACTTGAGGTCAGGAGTTTGAGACCATTCTGGCCAACATGGTGAAACCCTGTCTCTACTAAAGATACAAAAATCCGCTGGATGTGGTGACAGGCACCTAAAATCCCAGCTACTTGGGAGGCTGAGGCAGGAAAATCACTTGAACCTGGGAGGTGGAGGTTGCAGTGAGCTGAGACTGAGCCACTACACTCCAGCCTGGTGTAGGGTTAATATTAAAAAAAGTCATGCCCAGTGTTTGCTCTAAGTTTCTTGGACCTTGGGAACTAAAGTTATCATTTCTTTGGCAGTAAGCCTGGGGCATTAGGAGCTCATGATGACCCTGGCTTATGTCCGAGGAGCCGGGAATCTGGCCAATTCCCGTCTCTTTGAGAACCGTAAACAAAGCCAAGGATTGCTGTTACATAATGATAATGTTCGTGAGAGACAAGACAAAGAGCATCTGGTGTTTGCTATAACCTAAGTTGAACTGTAACATATAAAATATAGACAAAAACCAAAAAAAAACGGAAGGAGGATAAAAGAGAGGAAGAGAAAGATTGCGGAGAGCTGTAACTCGCGCCCTGCCCGTGCTGCTGTAACGCCGGTGCTGAGTGTCCGGACGGACGGTCTCTGGGTATGTCCCTTTTGTAAATAAAATCCTCTTCTTTTACCTATAACCTTTTGTAAATAAAATCCTCTTCCTTTACCTATAACCTTCTGTAAATAAAATTCTCTTCTTTTACCTTATTATTCTCGGCTTGGTGTTTTCTTCTCGCGAACCTGCCTCCAAATTACAAATCCGAGCTCGGTATCATTCCTGTTCTTAGTAACAAAACACCTGGGCAACAGAGTGAGACCCCATCTCAATAAATGAATGAATGCATACATAAATAAATGACACATCGTCCAGTAGTCATTTTTTTTCTGTTTTCTGAATATTTGAAACTTGCAAAATGGGAAGTTTGGCACAGCAGTGAAGACTTTTTTAGAATCCCTCTTTCTGGAGATTTATTTTATTTTATTTTTTGAGATGGAATCTCACTTTGTCGCCTAGGCTGGAGTGCAGTGGCACCATATCGGCTCATGGCGACCTGTCTCTGGTTTTAAGCTATTCTCCTGCCTCAGCTTCCCGAGTAGCTGGGATCATAGGCATGTACCACATGTCCAGCTAATGTCTGTATTTTTAGTAGAGATGGGGGTTGACCAGGCTGGTCTCGAATTCCTGACGTCAAGTGCTGGGAGGAGCCACCATGTCCAGCCACTTTCTTGAGATTGAAAAGAGGACAAACATGTAGAAAGCTGAGACATCTCTGTTGTCAAAGCAAACATCCCGTACCCTTCTCCTAATTTTCCAGTAGGTATGGAATGTTTTCTGCTCTTTTAGGAGCAGGGTTATTTCAAGGCTTAAGTCTGGAAATGATGCATCTTTGTTTTTTCTGTATATACATGGGAAGTCCTGTTAATGGAAGCACTATCTGCTAACCGCAGATGAACAGGAAGGGGGCGACTCCTTATCTGAATTACCTCGGTCGCATTGCTTGTAACACAACCTGTAATCCCACCATTTCTTCTCCTTTGTCATTGCCACTGTATCTTTTTTCTCTTCTCTGTCTTCTCCTTCCTTTTCGTCTAAACATCCTCATTTTTAACAGAGGTTGGAGCAGTGAAGAAGAGTCAGTGCATTTAACAGGAAGTCTACTTACTCACTTTTCTGTGTGTGCAAGGCTGAGCGGAGGTTTTACATCTCAAGAGGAACTGAGTGCTGCAGAGCATGGAACATACCGAAGAGACCAGCAATCTTGCACCCTCACCTCACAGCACGGAGAGAGGAGACCAAGCTGGGAAAACCAGGTAGGCCACCCCTTGTACCACCGGCCCTTCCCCTCCCAGATTCTGGAGAAGCTCCAAGATTCTGCCTTTGTAAGGCTCCCTTTTTAGTTTGAAAGAGGCTTCTCCACCAGGTGCAGTGGCTCACACCTGTAATCCCAGTACTTTTGGAGTCTGAGGCAAGTGAACCACCTGAGGTTAGGAGTTCAAGGCCAGCCTGGCCAAAATGGCAAAACCCTGTCTCTACTAAAAATACCAAGAATCAGCCAGGCATGGTGGCACACGCCTGTAATCCTAGCTATTCGGGAGGCTGAGGCAGGAGAACTACAGGAACCTGGGAGGTGAAGGTTGCAGTGAGATGAGATTGCACCACTGCATTCCAGTCTGCGTGACAGAGCGAGATTCTGTCTCAAAAAGAGAAAAGAAAAGTAGGGGAGCTACTCATGGAAGTGGAATTTGGCGGCCATTACTGCTAGCACTAGTGCAAAGCATGGTAGCTTCCCTTTTTCAGTTACCTGTGGTCAACTGCAGTCTGAAAATAGGTGAGTACAGCACAAAAAGATGTTTTCCGAGAGACAAACCACATCCACATAACCATCTTTTTTTTTTTTTTTTTTTTTTTTGAGACAGTATCTCACTCTGTGGCCCAGGCCAGAATGCAGTGGCACAATCCTGGCTCACTGCAACCTTCACGTCCTGGGTTCAGGCAATTCTCCTGCCTCAGCCTCCCAAGTAACTGGGATTACAGGAGCACACCACCACACCTGCCTAATTTTTGTATTTTCAGTAGAGACAGCGTTTTGCCGTGTTGAGGTCACTCCTGACCTCAAGTGATCCACTTGCCTCAGCCTCCCAAAGTGCTGGGATTACAGGCATGAGTGACTGTATCCAGTCCTAGACTTTTCAAAAAAATGAAGTTCAGAAAAGTCATCCATTTGCTCTGTAGTTTTTATCAAGCTCTACTGAGGGCTTTTGCACTCCTCAAATAAGTGATTCTAGCATTTTTCAAGAAGATAATAGATACACATGAAATGCTTATTTAGGACTGCTCTACTATTAATGAGTTTGTTGAAGACAGAGTAGGTTTGTGGGAACACAGCATCAAGTACAATGTTCTTCTTCAAAGAGAAATATTACATATTAGTCTTTTTTAGCTGGGCACAGTGGCTCACGCCTATAATCCCAACACTCTGGGAGGCCAAGGCGGACAGATCACTTGAGGTCAGGAGTTCAAGACCAGCCTGGCCAACATGGTGAAACCCCATTGTTACTAAAAAATAAAAAATTAGCTGGATGTGGCAGTGCACAGCTATAATCCCAGCTACTCAGGAGGCTGAAGCAGAAGAATCACTTGAACCCAGGAGGCTGCAGTGAGCTGAGATCGTGCCACTGCACTCCAGCATGGGTGATGGAGTGAGACTCCGTCTCAAAAAAATAAAAATTAGTCTTTTTTGCCTTTTTCTTTAAACTAGTAATTATTAACATAAGTGCTCAGGTAAAACTCAGGGAGTTTATGTTCAGAAATTATCTCCCGTCCCAAAAAGTTTTCATCTGTGCCTAGGTTCATATAAAATCTCTCATTTTATGAGTGTTCTCAATTATTTTGTTATGAAGAACAAAATCCTCTTTACAGAACACGAGTTAACTTCAACTGATCTCAGCTGGTGTCAGTTTTAGATGCTTATAGAAATCAACTGAAAAAATGAGAGATGGGTATAGCATATTTCATCATTATGTTAGGGTTTAGAACCTCACATTTGGGAATATCATATGTCTTTGTAAGGAACTTAATGATCAATTTGGAAACTTTATAGAAAGCATTTAAATGGTGGCGAGGACAAATGTATACAGATAGGCTGACCTTTTTTTTTTTTTTTTTTTTTTTGGAGATGGAGTTTCGCTCTTGTTACCCAGGCTGGAGTGCAATGGTGCGATCTCGGCTCACCGCAACCTCCGTCTCCTGGGTTCAGGCAATTCTCCTGCCTCAGCCTCCTGAGTAGCTGGGATTACAGGCACGCGCCACCATGCCCAGCTAATTTTTTGTAGTTTTAGTAGGGACGGGGTTTCACCATGTTGACCAGGATGGTCTCGATCTCTTGACCTTGTGATCCACCCGCCTCGGCCTCCCAAAGTGCTGGGATTACAGGCTTGAGCCACCGCGCCCGGCCTGGCTGACTTTTTAAAAAAGAACTTTTCCTAAGATCACCTGATTGGATACTTGAATCTTGGGATAAAATTCCGGTGACATTATAAGTAGATTTGTTTGTTTTGAGACAGAGTTTCACTCTGTCGCCCAGGGTAGAGAGCCGTGGCATGATCTCAGCTCACCAAAACCTTCGCCTCCTGGGTTCAAGTAATCCTCCTGCCTCAGCCTCCTGAGTAGTTCGGACTACAGGCATCCACCACCACACCCAGCTAATTTTTGTATTATTAGTAGAGACAGAGTTTTGTCATGTTGGCCAGGCTGGTCTCAGACTCCTGACCTCAAGTGATCTGCCTGCCTTGGCCTCCCAAAGGGCTGGACTTACAGGCATGAACCACTGAGCCCGGCTTATAATAAATTTAAAAAGCACTGTTTATCAAACATTCAGGAGGAAGTCAAAATTATATGCTCTATAAAACATATATAACTTGAAAAGTGGCTCTGTTGATCATAAAGATACCAAGATTGAAGCTGCCTACGAACTGTTTGGGTAAAACTATTCTCCAAATTGTGAAAAAGACAATTTCTAAATTCACATTTATGTCACTTTAAGTGAGCATATAAAATGCACTTACTGAATGTTATGTATAGGTATTTGACAATTTCACCTACATCCCTACAAATTTATTTCTTTAATTTAAAAATGAGAGACAAGATATCACTCTGTCACTGAGACTGGAATCAGTGGTGCAGTCATAGGTCTCTGCAACCTCAAAGTCCTAGGCTCCAGAGATCTTCCTGCCTCTGCCCCCCAGGTAGCTGGGACCACAGGTGTGTACCACCCTGCCAAACTCATTTTTACATTTTTTGTAGAGATGAGGTCTCACTATGTTGCCTAGATTGGGTTCAAACCCCTGATTGCAAGTGATCCTCCTGCCTTGGCCTCCCAAACTGCTAGGATTACAGGCATGAGCCACTATGCCCAGCCCTAAAAGTCTATATAGTCAAATTGTTAACACAGACCATGAAAACCTTTTTTGCTCTTTCTTATGGGAAAAAAAAATTGCAATCACTTTATATTTGAAGATATGTTTCTCTTTTTTTTTTTTTTTTTTTTTTTTTTTTTTAAGACGGAGTCTCCCTCTGTCACCCAGGCTGGAGTGCAGTGGCACGATCTCAGCTCACTGCAATCTACGCTTCGCTTCCTGGGTTCAAGCGATTCTTCTGCCTCAGCATTTCAAGTAGCTGGGATTACAGGCACCCACCACTAGACCTGGCTAATTTTTGTATTTTTAGTAAAGACGGGGTTTCACCATGTTGGCCAGGCTAGTCTTGAACTCCAGACCTTGTGATCTGCCCTCCTCAGCCTCCCAAAGTGCTGGGATTACAGGCGTGAGCCACCGCGCCTGGCCATGTTTCTTATAATAAAGATTTCCATTAAAATGCAGGGAATTCAGCATGGGGAACTTAACTGATATAAATAATGCTAAATATATTTGAATTTTCTCCCTAGGAATAAGAAAGTTCTCAACTGCTTATACAAAAATCCTGAGGCCATTTTTAAGCTGATATGCTTTCCTTGGGCGGGAGGTGGCTCCATTCATTTTGCCAAATGGGGCCAAGACACTCAAGATATTCTGGAAGGTACGTTCATTTTCAACACCATTTAAGCAATTTATAAGGGCGGATGACATAAATGTATTAGAATTTGAAGTTCGGTCAAGACTTTACATCTTGGTAGGTAATTAATAATAAATTTTCAAGATTACGCTTCAATAGGGTGACTTTTACATTTCTAAAGTAAGTTGCCTTTATTTTGTTATTATCGTTAGAGCTAGAAGGACCTTTTAGGAGAAGAAATTCTAATACTGCATTTGTCTTTGGTACAATTACCGATATGGTGGAACTGAATCTACTATCCTACAATTGTTTCCTATTTGTCCAACGATATGTTCTATTTTCCCTTTTTCTGCTTTTCTTTTGAATTAACCGAGAGTCTAAAAGACAGCTATAAATCCAGGCAGTGGCTCATGCCTGTAATACCAGCACTTTGGGAGGCCGAGGCAGGAGGAATGCTTGAGGCAAAGAGTCTAAGACCATTCTGGGCAACAGAGTGAGCCCCTGTCTCTATACTAATAATTACTTATTTATTCATTTATTTATTTATTTTGAGTTGGAGTCTCACTCTGTCACCCAGGCTGGAGTGCAGTGGTGCCATCTTGGCTCACTGCAACCTCCACCTCCTAGGTTCAAGTGATTTTTGTGTTTCAGCCTCCCAAGTAGCTGGGATTCCAGGCACTTGCCACCAAGCCTGGCTAACTTTTATGTTGTTTTTTTTTTGTTTTTTTTTTTTTGAGATGGAGTTTTGCTCTGTTGCCCAGGCTGGAGTGCAATGGTGCATTCTCAGCTCACTGCAAACTCTGCCTCCCGGGTTCAAGCAATTCTCCTGCCTCGGCCTCCTGAGTAGCTGAGATTACAGGTGCACGCCACCAGGTCTGGCTAATTTTTGTATTTTTAGTAAAGACAGGATTTCACCATGTTGGTCAGGCTGGTCTCGAACTCCTGAACTTGTGATGCACCGCCTTGGCCTCCCACAGTGCTGGAGTTACAGGTGTGAGCCACCACGCTCAGCTAATTTTTATATTTTTTAGTAGAGATGGGGAAAGTGTTTTCATTGGCTGGCTGAAAAACTTGGATTTATAATTTCTAAATTTTGTATGATAAATTTATCTTTGTTTATGATAAAGTGTGTTAGATTTTCTTGACCAGTAAGAATAGGTCATTCTACTGGAATTAAGGGTGGTTGCTTAATTACTGAGTTCAAGAGTGCCCTCTTCTGTTGCTCTAGTGAAGTGCAGTTTGAAAAACCACCTCGTTTGTGTGGATGGGGGTTCTGTACTTCTGGCTCTTTGATATTTTCATGTTTCTGTAGGACTCTTATCTCTAGGCCCTTCCCTCTTTATTTTTAACCATCAAGATTCCCAACACTATACCTCTCTATTCCTCAAGCTTTCCAAGTCTCATCCTTTCCACATGCTGGTAGCCAACACTCTGGTATCAAGTCTCAAACCAAATAATCCATTCATTGGAAGAAGAGAGCCCTGTAATTCCTAAATGCCACTTTAGAAATTATTGGAAATACTTTTATATGAAGTTTTTAATCAATACCTGATTGTTCAATTTAGACAATTAAAAGCCACTCCTTTAAACAAATTTTCAAATAGTTGATTTATAAAAATGTGTACCATAAACTTAACCATGTCCACTGCTCCACTTATAGAATAAAACAGTATGGATATAATTGAAGTCTCCCTCGCCATTTGTGGGGGAACTGACTTAAGCAAGATATAGTATAATCTCTCATATTTCTAACCTTATATTTTGAGACAAAGTCACCCTCTGTCCCTCAGCCTGGAGTTCAGCAGCAGCATCTCAGCTCACCGCAATCTCCACCTCCCGGGTTCAAGTGATTCTCCTGCCTTAGCTTCCCAAGAATCTGGGATTACAGGCATGTGCCACCATGCCCAGCTAATTTTTGTATTTTTAGTACAGACAGGGTTTCACCATGTTGGCTAGGATGGTCTTGAACTCCTGACCTCAGGTGATCCACCTGCCTTGGCTTCCCAAAGTGCTGGGATTACAGGCGTGAGCCACCACACCTGGCCTATATAAATGTTTTATACTGTAAACATTACACTGAAACTTGCTTTTCCCTCAGTTTATTTTTTGGGATGCGTCATGTGGGTATGTGTATCTCTATTCCATCAGTTTTAAACTGATTTTTTGTATTCTACTGTGTGAATATAACACAATTTATCTATTCTGTTCTCAGACATTCTGGTCATTTTCATTTTTGTGCTATTAGTGTAAACAGTGCTTCTATGAGCATCTTATCCATGTCTCCTTACATACACGTACAAGACAGTCTACATCTAGGAGAGGAATTTCTGGGTGATAGAATATGAACATCTTCAATGACATAAAATATTGTCAAATTGTTCTCCAAAGGAATTATAATAATTTATACTACTGGCCAGGCACAGTGACTCACATCTGTAATCCTAGCACTTTGGGAGGCTGAGGTGGGCGGATCACAAGGTCAGGAGATCAAGACCATCATGGTTAACACGGTGAAACCCTGCCTCTGCTAAAAATACAAAAAAAAAAAAAAATTCGCCGGGCATGGTGGTGGGCGCCTCCCAGCTACTTGGGAGGCTGAGGCAGAGAATCGGTTGAACCCGGGAGGCGGGTATTGCAGTGAGCTGAGATCATGCCACTGCATTCTAGCGTGAGTGACAGAGCAAGACTCCGCCTCAAAAAAATAATACTAATAATTTATACTACCAAAGCAACACATAGGAAAATTCTCATTGCTCTATATTGCTGACAACACTGTTGTAATCTTTTGCTACTCTGTGCTGAAATTATTCTAACTTTACATTGATCAATCCTTATTGCAAGTAAGATTGGGCATCTTTTCACATATGTATTCACTCTGAATATTTTCTTTCCTGTGAGCTTCTTGTTAGTATCTTATGTTCACTTCATTTGATTAATTTTTTTCTCATTGACATGTAGAAATTCTTTCTTTCCTTCCTTTCTCCATCCCTTTCTTCCTTCTTTCCTTCCCATCTCTCTCTCTCTGTCTCTGTCTCTCTCTCCCCCCCCCACGCCCCACAAGATCATGCTTTGTTACCCCAGCCTGGAGTGCAATGGCATGATCTTGACTCACTTCAGCCTTCACTTCCCAGCCTCAAGTGATCCTCCCACCTCAGCCTCCTGAGTAGCTGGGATTACAGGCATACAGTACCATGCTCGGCTAATTTTCTAATTTTTATTTTTGTAGAGACAGCATCTCACTATGTTGCCAAGGCTGGTCTCAAACTCCTGGGCTCAAGTGATTCTCCTGCCTCCATCTGCCCATGTGGTAGGATTATAGGTATGAGCCACTATGCCTGGACAAAATCCTTTGTCTGTTCTGGATTCTAATTTTTTTGGTAAGTTTTATGTGTTGAAAAATGTCTTCTATATAACTCGATCAAGACACAAAAAGAGAAAAAAAAAAAAGAAAACGTCTTCTAGTTTGTGCCACCTTTTTTTTTTTTTTTTTTTTTTTTAGAGAGGGAGTTTCGCTTTTCCTACCCAGGCTGGAGTGCAATGGCGCGATCTCGGCTCACCGCAACCTCCGCCTCCTGGGTTCAGGCAATTCTCCTGCCTCAGCCTCCTGAGTAGCTGGGATTACAGGCACGCGCCACCATGCCCAGCTCATTTTTTGTAGTTTTAGTAGAGACAGGGTTTCACCGTGTTGACCAGGATGGTCTCGATCTTTTGACCTCGTGATCCACCCGCCTCGGCCTCCCTAAGTGCTGGGATTACAGGCGTGGGCCACCGCGCCCAGCCACCTTTCTTTTTAATGTGGTGTCTTCTGACTCACCGAAGGTTATTACTCTTCTTTTAAACTTTCTGCTTTTTCAGGTTTGCTTTAAAAGCAAGCCTAACCGAACCCTACACCGTAAACCCTAACCCCCAACTCGCCGTTATTTGCCCATTTTTCTTCTATCAGTTCTAAAGTATTTTTCTCACATTTGAGCCAAAATTATCTTTTGTATCTAGTGTGAACTAGATACCCAAGTTTACTTATACCACGTAAATAGCCAGTTGGCTTGGCAATGCTTACTGAGAGGTCTACACATTCCCCTACTGGTTTTAAGTGACAGTTGAGTTATAAATTGAGTTTTCACATGCACGTAGTTTATTTCTGGGCTCTCTATTCTTTTTCTTTTTCTCTTTTTTTTCTTTTTTTGAGACAAAGTCTAACTCTGCCACCCAGGCTGGGGTGCCATGACGCAATCTCAGCTCACTGCAACGTCTGCCTCCTGGGTACAAGCGAGTCTCATGTCTCAGCCTTCCTAGTAGGCGAGATAACAGTCATGAGCCACCATGCCCGGTTAATTTTTGTATTTTTAGTAGAAACGGTGTTTCACCATGTTGGTCAGGCTGGACTCAATCTCCTGACCTCAGGTGATCCACCTGCCTCAGCCTCCCAAAGTGCTGGGATGATGGGCATGAGCCACCGTGCGGGGCCCGGGCTGTCTATTCTGTTCCATCGGTGTACTTGCCTCATTTGATACCAGAACTACACTGTCTTCATTCCAGGAGCGTGGCGGTCTCAGGGTAACTGGGATGTTTCCTTGATGCCTTCATGGGAAAATGAGTATCTGTGAGTCTATTTGTGGGTCTACTTTTGGGTTCTCTACTCCACTGATCTATACGTCTGTTTTTACTCCAAAAGGGTGCTATCTTGATTACTGCGGCCTTATAATAAGCCTTGGATATCAAGTAGCTTAAGTTCGCCCACTTTGTTCTTGTTTTTGAATGTTGTTTTGGATATGTTAAGTCCTTTGCATTTTGCATATGATTTTTAGAATCAGCTTATCAGTTGTCTGAGATTCTGTTTGGGACTGCAGTGAAGGTAGAGATCCATTTCCGGAAAATTGACATCATCACAATATTGAGTCCGCTGACCCATGAGTGAGGTATATTTCTCCAGTTTAAAAAGTATTGTTTTGCTTTAGCAGTATTTTGTCATTTTTTGTTTCTGGTCTGCTTCAGCCTCTTGAGTAGCTGGGACTATAGGAACATGCCGCCATACTTGGTTAATTTTTTAAAAAATTTGTCATACAGATGGGGTCTCCCTGTGTTGCCCAGGCTGCTCTTGGATTCCTGAGCCAAAGCAATCCTCCCACCTTGGCCTCTCAAAGTGTTGGAATTACAGGCATGAGCCACCGCCCTTAGCCTTCCAATATACATCTTTCAGTGATTACAGTCTACTTTCAAATTGGATAACACCAGTTCATTTTTAATGAATGAACCTTTTAAGAGTGCTATTCCATTCCTCTCTCTTGACCTTTGTGCTACTTTTGGATTACATTTTCCTACTTACCAATTTTGTGTAGAGCAGTCAGTCATCTTTTACAGTGATTTTAAAGTGATTAAAAATGTTTAGTAAGACCTTCTGAGTTTGTGGAGGAAAACCAAAAGGATAAAAATAATCTTTTACGTGTATTTACACGATTGCCTTTGTTAAAGTGATCCAGGTTTTCTTTTTCTTTTTTATTTTATTTAATTTATTTTCTTTATTTTTATTTTTATATATTTTTTAAGTGATCCAGATTTTCATCTGGCATTATTTTTATTCTGCCTGGAGAAGTTCCATTAATATTTATTTTAGTGCAAGTCTGCTGGCATTGAATTCTCATGGGTTTTATGTGTCTAAAACATCTTGAACTTCCTGAAAGATACTGTCATAGGCTATGGAATGCCAGGTTGACAGTTGCTCCCTCCTTTCCTACCCCCTAGTATTGTTCTCTGACTTGCCTAATTTCCCTCCCTCCCTTCCTCCTTCCCTCCCTTCCTTCTTCCCTCCTTCTGTCCTTCCTTCCTTCCTTCTTTCCTTCCTTCCTTCCTTCTGTCCATCCATCCATCCGTCCATCCATCTCACTCTGTCTCCCAGCTTAAGTGCAGTGGCACAACCACAGCTCACTGTAGCTCCAACCTCCCAGGCTCAAGCCATCCTCCTGCCTCAGCCTCCCAAGTAGCTGGGACTATAGATGTGCACCACCACACCCAGCTAATATTTAAAAATTTTTTTTATAGAAACGAGGTCTCACTTCATTGCCCAGGCTGTCTCAAACTCCTGGGCTCAAGCAGTCCTCCAGTCACAGCCTCCCAAAGTGCTGGGATTATAGGCATGAGCCACTGCACCTGGCAGGCTTGCACAATTTCTAAAAAGAAATATGCGGTCATGGCCTGTGTATGGTGGCTCACGCCTGTAATCCCAGCACTTTGGGAGGCCGAGGCGAGCAGATCACTTGAGGTCAGGAGTTTAAGACCAGCCTGATCAACATGGTGAAACCCTGTCTCTACTAAAAATACAAAAATTAGCCGGGTGTGGTGGCGTGTGCCTGCAATCCAGATACTCGGGAAGCTGAGGCAGGAGAATCACTTGAACCTGGAAGGCAGAGGTTGCAGTTAGCCAGATTGCACCATTACACTCCAGCCTGGGCAACAGAGCAAGACTCTGTCTCCAAAAAAAAAAAAAAAAAGAGAGAGAAAGAAATGTGTTGTAATTACCTTTGTATCTATGTTTCTCTTCTGTGGCTGCTTTTTAAGATAATCTTTTTATCAAACATTTTTAGCAATTTGATGGACAAGCCTTGGTGTGGTTTTCATTGTTTATTCTGCTTGAGTTTCCTTGAGCTTCTTGGAGCTACAACTTTGTAATTTTCAAATTTGGAAATATCCAACCACTATTTTTTCAAATGTTTTCCTCTTCTCTCCTCTCCTTCTGGGACTCCAACTACACCTATGTTAGATTGATTTATAGGGTACCACGGTATACTCATCATCTGTGCATTTATTTTGTCATGTTTCTTCCATGGTTAATTTTCTTTCTTTTTTTTTTTTTGTTTTGAAGACAGAGTCTCATTCTGTCACCCAGGCCAGAGTGCAATGGCCCCATCTTGGCTCACTGCAACCTCTGCCTCCTGGGTTCAAGCGATTATCCTGCCACAGCCTCCTGAGTAGCTGGGACCACAGGCGTGTGCCACCACACCCAGCTAATTTTTGTATTTTTAGTAGAGACAGGGTTTCACCATGTTGACCAGGTTGGTCTCCAACTATTGACTTCCAGTGATCTGCCCGCCTCAGCCTGCCAAAGTGCTGGGATTACAGGTGTGAGCCACTGTGCCTGGCCAATATGCTTAATTTTGTATATTTTCTTTTTCTATGTTTAAGTTCACTGATCTTTTCTTCTGGGTATCTTCTTCCTTCTGTCTGTCCATCTCACTCTGTCTCCCTGGGAGGATGAGGTATCTGCTATTAATCCTGTCTAGTGTCTTTTTAAAATTTTTCAGATCTTATATTTTACATCTCTACAAGTTCCATTTGGGTCTTTTAAAAATCTTTATTATCTGTTCTTATCATGTTCATGTTTTTGTTTACATTATTGAGCACATTTGTATTTAATAGCTGTTTAAGGTCCTTGTCTACTGACTCCACTGTTTGTTATTTCTTGTCTGTTTCTTATGTTTGACGCTCTCCCTGGACCTGTTACAGGTCATGTCTTCCAGCTTTTTGGTATGTCTGGTGAGTTTTGATTAGATGTTAGACACTGTGGGTTTTACATTGTTGGGTCCTGGATTTTGTTGTATTCCTTTAAAGTATGTTAGACTTTGCTATAGCAAGCAAGCCAATAAGTTATTTGGGATCAACTTGATGTTTGCTCTGGAGATGCTTATGTTGTGTATTTATTCATTAAGAGATGATGTGTCATTGTTTCTGTTAGGCATCATGAAGTGCTACTTGCCCAGGATCACTTTGAGTTATTTTTCCAGCTTATTTTCTATAAATTTGAAGTGTATTTATGTTACCTGCACTCCGGTTTATCAAAGTAACATAAATACACTTCAAATTTGCATAAATACAAGGCTTTGATTAAAAAAAAAAATTTAAGGGCAGACTTTTTCCCCCATCCAGAGCCAAGACAAAATCGGAAAGTTCTGCTTTTCTCCTTTGCCATTTGGAAAATATATATTTGTAGTCTACCTTTTCACAGAGGATCTAGAAATTAGGGTTTCTTGGCTTTATGTAAGGGACTCAGTTCTAACTCTCAAATTTAACGCATTTCAGTGCCTTATCTCCTGACACTGTAGGTCACCCTTGAAACCTGACATTTTATTTTCCTGATATAGGTAATGGTTGTTGGGGTAAGCATTTTGTCAGCACATGATCATCAATGGAATTTTCATTTCCTTTTTTTTTTTTCCTTCTAGGTGTCTTCTTTATTTTACTGTGAGCAGATATTTAGTCTGCTGTATTTTGTGCTCTTGCTTTTATTATCAGCAAATTCTAAAACTTTTATCTCACTGGACTTAACTGTTATCATTTATTTCTTTGAATTTTTTTCCACCAGGCAAATATAAGCCCTTTTATAACATCACAGTATCTCAGTCACTGTCTGTACGTGTTCACCTGTGCTTCTCCACCTCCAGTGCACGCCGTAAGGCTTCCTGGAAGAGAAAGCCGAATTGGAGAACCTATGGCAACTGACATCTACCAGATAATTGACGAAATTACTTGTGCCATGCTGCCAGTCATCCAGGGTAAACCATTTGCATTTTTTGGCCACAGGTATTTGAAATCTGTTTTAAAATTCTTTGGGGGAGTTTCTTCTATCCCAAGTCTGTGGTTAATGTTGCTCACAGTGTCTTGTAGTGGTTAGACAGCATGTTGGGTCATTGCGACCTATCACAACTTTTACAGTTCACCAGTTTGTATGGTAAGTATACCTATTATCTTTCCTTTTAGGCAAAAAAAAAAAAAAAAAAAAAAAGTGAACACTTGTAAAACTAAGACTTTAACAGCAGCTTACATTCATTTTTGAATTAAGAAATGCTGCAAAGAATATTTGTTTCTTCAGCTAGGTTGTATAATTCTAAGGTTAGGTCATAGACCCTTGGGTTTTGGCTATCTCTTATCAGTTGTAGGACCCTGGGAACATTTCTTAGGCTTCTGAGTTAGTTTCTTTTTCTATAAGGCGGCAATAACAATAGTTCCCACTTGTGAGGCTTAAATGAAGTGATTGTAAATAAACTGTGGCATAGTAAGGACTCAATAAATGTTGGCTATTATATAAGATTTATAAATATGGTCAAGCAGAAATTACAAAATAAAAAGTACTCATCATCCTACTACCTAGATAGTAATGCTTTACAATTCTGATGTGGTTTCTTAGTATTTTTACATAGTGGGGTCTGGTTTTATATATTTACTTAGCCTTTTCACTTAAAAGCAATGTATACTTACAGGATGTGAAAGATATTTATTGGTATAATATTTCTATTATAGCAATTAAATTAATATTAAATTAAATGTATTTATCATATTATTGCTATAAATATCTTTCACATCCTGTAAGCATATGTCGCTTCATGATTTGTTTAACCTCTTTCTGTGGATATGAGTTATTTCTTTTTCTATTACAAACAACAGTCCAGTGAACTTTTTTTTTTTTTTTTTTGAGACAGAGTCTCACTCTGTCCCCCAGACTGGAGTGCAGTGGCACAATCTTGGCTCATTGCAACCTATACCTCATGAGTTCAAGCAATCTTCCCACCTCAGCCTCTCAGACAGCTGGGATTACAGGTGCACGCCACCATACCCGGCTAATTTTTGTATTTTTAATGGAGATGGGGTTTCACCATGTTGACCAGGCTGGTCTTGAACTGCTGACCTCAAGTGATCCACCTGCCTTGGCCTGCTAAAGTGCTGGGATTACAGGCATGAGCCACTGCACCCAGCCCAACGAACATGCTTATAGAAAATTAAGTGTAAATCTCCTATCAGTTTTTTAGGATAAATTCTCAGAATTTATGTTAAATAATGTGCACATTGTTGAAGGTCTTTTCCAGACAGGGTCTTGCTCTGTTGCCCAGGCTGGAGGGCAGTGGTGCGATGATAGTTCACGTACTACTGCAACCCCTCGAGGGGTTCTTCTACCTCAGCCTCCCAGGTAGCGGGGAGTACAGGAGCATGCCACCACACCCTGCTAATTTCTTCTTATTGATGTTTTGCAGAGATGGGTTTTTGCCATGTTGCTCAGGCTGGTCTCCAACTCCTGGGCTCAAGTGATCCACCCACCTCCGCCTCTCAGAGTGCTGGGACTACATGCATGGGGCACTGCATCCAGCCCGTAAAAGTTCTTGATATTTATTTCCAAATTACTTGTACTTTACACTCCATGTGCAATGAATATGGTGCTGAGTTTCCCTTTCTTTCATGAAATATATACATATGTAATTTATAAATAAACAACCTCTGGCAGTTTTGTCTCCTAGATATATCTACTTAATATCAATAGCGATTCACAACATTTTTGGTTCCAGTACTCCTTTATACTTTTAAGATGCACTGAGGAACTCAAAGAGCTTTTGTTTATATGTGATATATCTGGCAATATTTACCTTACTGGAAAGTAAAACTAAGAAATGTTAAAGATATTTATTTATTAACTTATCTAAAATAATATTAACAAAACTATTATACATTGACATAAATAATACATTTTCTATTAAAAAAAACTGTAATTTCCAAAAAAAATTGAGAAGGTGAGAAGAGTGACATCATTTTACACTTTTGCAAATATGTTTAATGTCTGACATAACAGAAGGCAGATGGATTCTCTTTTCTGTCTCTGCATCCACCTGTCACTATATCATATGTCATATTGCTTCTGGAAAACGCCACGGTGTACTCATTATAGTAAAAAAGGAAAATAACATTTTAGTATTTATCCTGAAAACAGCTTTGATCTCATGGACCATCCATTAGGATCTCACAAATTTCCAGGGGTCCCCAAACCATATTCTGAGAACTGCTGATAGATACTATCAAATACATAGTGATACACATCTTTAAGGAAGAAAAGGAAATTTAAATTAATTCGAAGATAGTGTGGAAATCAGTACTAAATCTTAGAGTGAATTATCTAGGCTGTCTTTGAAACACTTTTTATGCTGACATAGATCATTGAAAACACGGACTTATTAATCAACTCACACTTTTATTTCGACTATTCCATGACCATGGTTGTGTTTATGATACTGTTCCTATTGACTCAGAGGATCATCATGAGTTTTGCTTAATAGTTCTTGTCATGTTTTTCTTTCCTGAATTTAGCATGGGAGGCTACATTGCTTTTAAGACTGCACTACACCTAAAAGAAAAGCATAATCTAGAACCATTGCATTTATTTTTGTCAAGTGCCTTTTCTCCACATGTAAGTAATCTTAGAGTGAATTATCTAGGCTGTCTTTGAAACACTTTTTATGCTGACACTTTTTAGCTTATTCCTAGGAAGGGTAGTGGAGAGCAGGGAAATGGGGATAAAAATTATTTCCCTAGCTGATGAATTTTGGTCCAGTATGGTGATGACGGTGGGGATACTATTAGGTTGGTGCAAAAGCAGTTGAGGTTTTGCCATTACTTACTTTTTTTTTTTCTTTTTTGAGATGGAGTCTCACTCTGTTGTCCAGGCTCAAGTGCAGTGGCACAATCTTGGCTCACTGCAACCTCCACTTCCTGGGTTCAAGTGATTCTCCTGTCTCAGCCTCCTAACTGGGACGACAGGTGTGTGCCACCATACCTAATTTTGTATTTTTAGTAGAGATGGGGTTTCACCATGTTGGCCAGGTTGGTCTTGAACTCCTGACCTCAGGGGATCCACCTGCCTTGGGCTCCCAAACTGTTGGGATTACAGGCATAAGCCACCATGCCCGGTCTGCCATTACTTTCAATAGCAGAAACCACAATTGTTTTGCACCAACCTAATACTTGCTGTTGAAAAGTCCCTTAAATCTCTTTCAATATCATTATTTCTGTGTTTCCCTGAAATGTGCTTCAACTGTTCCCTGCTGGCACTATTCCTGGCATCTCTGAGCTAATGCTGACTATAGTGATTTTTCCTTCATTCTGGATCAGCTGGGAACTTAACCAACTTTGAGCAAAGTAACTGGATCAGAACCAGGAAAGACTCCTTGGAATTTAAAAAGGGGATAGTGATGTCACATTTTTAGAACTACGATGGCTTTTTAAACCTGGTGCTGCTTGTTCCTGCTGCTCTTCCTCCTACCTCTTTGGTCTTCCCCACTTCCTCTGGAGAAAGATCCTGCCTGTCCCAGGGTTCTAAATCTACAAAGCCATTTTGGTGGCATTATGATGCTGCAGCTATCACTAATGAGCCTTCCTGCTTTCAAAATGAGACAGTCCTTCCCTGAAGCCTGTAGATAAAGCAGTCCACTTCCCAGCCTTGGTTTAATGACTTTTCCCTTAGAACAACAGTTTTCAGTTGATATGAAATATCAGGCCTGTATTTTTCATGTTTCAAGTCAAAGGTCCACATTGAAATTCCCAAAGATGGTGGATTGTCAGAAGAACAAATTTGTCGTTACCTTGTGGATCTTGGAGGCACCCCCATGAATTTTGTTGAAGACAAGGAACTTGTGCAACAATGTATGCCCACTATGATGGTAGATGTGAACATTATTAGTAAATGCATGTAAGTAACAGAGACAAGCTTTCTTTCATTCTTTTTTTTTTTTTTGGTATAATTATTTGCAGAGAAAACATAGATTGGTAGTGCTCTGAGCCTGCTTGGATGGGAAGACAAAATTATAAGAGTTTGGTTTAATTTCCTATGGGGCCACCTACAGTATGTATACTGGTTTAGAATGGAGCCTAGGCATAGAAATTGTGACTATACAAGATGTCTAGCAAGGCCAGGCACAGCGACTCATGCCTGTAATTCCAGCACTTTGGCAGACCAAGGCTGGTGAATCAATTAAGGCCAGGGGTTCAAGACAAGGCTGGCCAACATGGCAAAACCCCATCTCTACCAAAAACACAAAAATTAGCCAGGTGTGGTGGTGCACGCCTGTAATCCCAGCTACTTGGGAGGCTGAGGCAGGAGAATCACTGGAACCGAGGAGGTGGAGACTTCAGTGAGCCAAGATCACACGACTGCCCTCCAGCCTGGGCAACAGAGTGAGACTCCATCTCAAAAAAAAATGTCTAGCATATATTTTTCTTTTAAAAATATGTGATTAGACATGCATATTTTATTATATAACATAGTAAATATTTGTTGAATAAATTAAGGCTAACGCATATTCATCTTCTTAGAAGGGTCAGCAGAAATAGATTGTTACTTATAAATGTGGGGACAAAAAAGGGGGGAGAAATTTGCTAGGTTTACTTTTTTGTAAATTTGGTTCCAGAACTCATTAAGTTCTATGACATCTCTCCATTCCCTTGTCTAATGGGATGTCTGTATTGACACTTGATTCTTCTGACAGATCTAAAGTCCTGATACTCTGTAAATCCTTTATTTTTTATTTATTTTTTATTTTTTTTGAGATGGAGTCTTGCTTTGTTGCCTAGGATGGAGTGCAGTGGTGAGATCTCAGCTCATTGCAACTTCCATCTCCCAGGTTCAAGTGATTCTCGTGCCTCAGCCTCCCAGTTGCTGGGATTACAGATGTGTGCCACCATGCCCAGATAATTTTTTAAATTTTCAGTAGAGATGGGGTTTCACCATGTTGGCCAGGCTGGTCTCAAACTCCCAACTCAGGTGATCTGCCCACATGTGCCTCCCAAAGTGCTGGGATTACAGGCATGAGTCACCACATTCCCTAATAATCTAAGCCTACAAATGGCTCTTCCTAGTCTAACTTCCCCATAGTCATTGTGGCACCATGATTTGGCCCTTAGTCACTGTTGCATACTGTCCTTTGTTCTTTCTGTTTTGCTTGGGGCTTTCCCCTTGGTGTAAGCTCCTTGCAGGCTTGGGCCTATGTTTCTTTTATTTCCTCCACAAGGTCTGGAACTGGGCATTCAGCACAATAGGCAGTGCTTGCTGCTAGAAGCTTACACAAATAGCAACAAAAAGGTTAAGAGACTCGCAGCACCTTGAGAATGGAGACAATCCATTCATCTTTGACACGTTCTTCCATTCACTGTCCACGTCCAATCTATCACAAGCTACACGATTTACCTTCAATATCCCAAGTCTAGGCATATGTGTCCATTTCTATCCCAACCATCTTAGCTCAAATGTGATTCTCCTAAGGCTAAAGCTGTCTTGTGTTTCTGGCTTATTGTAGAGCGAGGATCAAAGAAATACCAGTTTGACATTAAAAGAAAAACAAAACCAGAAACCTGATACTTTTTAAAGCTATGCTCATCTCACATGCAGTGACACCCATAGGCTCAAAAGAAAAGGATGGAAAAAAATCTACCAAGCAAATTAGAACACAAGGAAGGAGGGGTTGCAATCCTAATTTCAGACAACACAGATGTTAAACCAACAAAGATAAAAGAAAGACAAGGAAGTGCATTATATAATGGTAAAGGGTTCAATTAGACAAGAAGACCGAACTATTCTAAATATCTATGCCCCCAGCACAGGAGCACCCAGATTCATAAAGCAAGTCCTTTGAGACCCTCAAAGAGACTTAGACTCCCACACAATCATATTGGGAGATTTCAACACCCCATAGATCATCAAGGCAAAAAAATCAACAAAGATATTCAGGACCTAATATCAGCACTGGATCAAATGAACCTGATAGATATCTACAGAACTCTCTACCCCAAAACAACACAATATACATTCTTCTCATTGCCACATTACATACTATAAAAATGACCGCATAATCAGATAGAAAACACTCCTTAGAAAATGCAAAAGAACTCAAATCATAACATCTACTCTCTCAGATAACAGCACAAATAAACAGAATTCGAGACCAAGAAAATTGCTCAAAACCATACAATTGCATGGAAATTGAATAACCTGCTCCGGAATGACTTTTGGGTAAATAATGAAATTAAGGTAGAAATCAAGACATTCTTTGAAACTAACGAGAGCAAAGCATGAAGTCATGCCCTTTGCAGGAAGGTGAATGGAGCTGGAGGCCATTATCATTAGCAAACTAACACAGGAACAGAAAACTAAATGCTGTATGTTCTCACTTAAAAGTGGGAGCTAAATGATGAGAACACATGGACACAAAGACAGGAACAACACACACTGAGGCCTACTTGAAGGTGGAGGGTGGGAGGAGAGAAAGGATCAAAAAAATAACTAATTAGCCATGGTCCCAGCTACTTGGGAGGCTGAGGCATGAGAATCACTTCAACTGTGGAAGCGGAGGTTGCAGTGAGCTGAGATCACACCACTACACTCTAGCCTGGGAGACAGAGCGAGACTCTTTCTCAAAAAGAAAAAAAAGAAAAAAGAAAAGGAAAGGGGAAAAAAGTTATGGTAATCAAAACATTATTGTAATGTCACGAAAACAGACATATCAACCAATGGAATGAAAATAGCTCAGAAGTAAACCCATGCAATTGTGGGTTTTTTTTGTTTTTTTTTTTTTTTGAGTCAGGGTTTTGCTCTATCGCCCAGGCTGGAGTGCAGCGGGATGATGGGAGCTCACTACAACTGCCTCTTTTTTTTTTTTTAAGTAGAGATGGGGTTTCTCTATGTTGCCCAGGGTGATCTCAAACGCCTGAGCTTAAGTGATCCTCCTGCATCAGCCTCCCAAAGTGCTGGGATAACAGGCATGAGCACCTCTGTACTTGGCCAGGAATAAGCTTTTGAGATCTACTGCACAGCATGGTGACTACGCATGTGTATTTCAAAATTGCTAAGACAGTAGATTTTAAATGTGCGCATCATTTTAAAAAGTTAAGTATATGAGGTGATGGATATGTTAATTTGCTTGACTTAATCATTCCATAATGTATACTTATATCAAAATATCACAGTATACCTCACCAATATAAACAATTATTGGTGAATTTAAAACAAAATTTGAAAAAACTAATAAGTAATCCAAATCGCTATGGATAGTCAATGCAATCATGTATGCAAAAGCTGGCTTTTAATAATTAAGCCTTGACGGTCGCAGTGGCTTATGCCTATAATCCCAGCACTTTGGGAGGCTGAGGCGGGTGGATCACGAGGTCAGGAGTTCAAGACCAGCTGGGCCAAGATGGTGAAACCCTGTCTCTACTACAATACAAAAATTAGCCCGGCGTGGTGGCATGTGCCTGTAAGCTACTCAGGAGGCTGAGGCAGAGAACTGCTTGAACCTGGGAGGCGGAGGTTGCAGTGAGCTGAGCTCACGCTACTGTACCCCAGCCTGGGTGACAGAGCGGGACTCCATCTCAAAAAAAGAAAAAAAAAATTAAGCCTTGCACAATGATGAAACATGCCATCTTTAGAGCCCACTTAGCAGATTGAAAGCCTCTGTGTTTTACTCACTGTGAGATTCTGAGCAAGTTTCTTTAACAGTTTGTGTCTCGTCTGTCAAAGGGATAATAACAACTCTTCAAGGCGTTGCCTGAGAATTAACTGCTTGGTAGAGGGGAGGGTCTGGCACACAACAAACCACAAGCTATTTTTAAAAAGAAAACGCAACCAAAAAACTCACAACCGATGAGTTTTTTCACTCCAAAGAAACCTCCCAAACACCAAAAATAAAGCATTAACATACATCACTCATGGGAATATTCCACTCATAGAATGTAGAAAACGGTAACCTTCTCACCCTTTCTCCAGCGGATCAAATTGCAGTAGTTACTCACAACTTTTAACTTCCTCTCTCCAGAGTTCCAAATCTCTCCGAAATCCTGCCCTCCTGCTCCTTCTCCTGTTCAATCTGATCTCTCTCCTTTCCTCGTTATCTCCCAGCTTTCTCCAATATAAATGAAATCAGGCCTACAGAGTTTTTCCCAGTCCGCTCCTTCTCCATCACTACCACCAAAGCTCAGAGCTGGTAGTCAAAATGGAAATAATCAGCTGAGAAGTGCCAGAAGCTGTGACTACTTCAACTCATCTAAGCTGTCCTCCTCTCTTGCTTGGGACTTTTGTGTTATTGTTCCTCCTCTGGGATCCTGATGCCATGTATATTCGGCTGTTTCATAATTGATATTGTTCCAAATGTCTTGGGAGTTCCGTTTTGTCTCTTTTTTAAAAAATGTTTCCTTTGTGTTTCAGTGTAAATAATTTCTTCTGACCATCTTCAAGGTCACTGACTTTCTTTCCTCAGCTGCATCAAGTCTACTGATCAGCCTGTCAAAAGACTTCCTCGTTTCTGTTCTTATTTCTAGAAATTCCATTTGACTCTCTCCAGTCTTCACCTTTTAATGAAATTCCCCAGGTGTTCATGAATGTTACCCACCTTTTCCACTAAATCTGTTGACAAATGAATCCTACATATTTTAAAGTCCCTGTCTGAGAGTTCCAGCATCTGGACCTTATGTGCCTCTGATTCTTTTGACTGCTTTGCCTCTTAACAATGGTTATTTCTTGCTTTCCTGTGTCTGATAATTTTTTTCAATCAAAAGCCAGTTATGCATAAAACAGTAGAGACTAAAGGTAATGTTTTACACCTGAATTTGAGCACGTCTCTCCTTTTGCGAGGTCGTTAGTGTGGGGAGGTGAATCAGTCTAGTCTGGGCTTGTTGCTGTGATCACCTCCAATGCACCACCAGCTCTCAAGTCCTCTGGTGTAATTACTCTGTGTCTGGTGTGGGATCCAGTTGCAGAATTTTTCTCAGTGGTCCTGATCCACCCCTCACGTTTAATGTTCCCTGTGACTCACAGAACAGCCTCTCTCCCTCCTGTTGCCCTCCCCAGTGTAGACAGCTGTGGCTTGTTACACAGCTGTGGGTAACACAGGGAGTTCTTGGACATCCTAGATAGTCTGAAGCATAAATGCTAGGTAGCCCCTGAGCCTGGGCTCTGTGAATGGGGCTTTCACAGCATGCCTGCTCCTTCTCTCTTGCAAACACATTTTTGCCTTGTATCTGTGGTTGCCTTTGCAGAAGATTCCTGCCCCTTCCCACAAGCAGCAGAGCTCTGCTTGGTTTTGCTGTAGAATTGTTTCCCATCCCTTCCCCAGAGGTTGAAAAGCTTATGCTTTTATCCTCCCCTCAGCAGCCACAGGGCCTCACCTGCACCCTGGGAGTGAGAGGGTTTCATGTCTCTTCTCCAGCAACTTAAGGCTCCTGCTTACAGTGAGAGCAGACCTGGTCAGGTTGCAATCTAGTGCCACTCCAGTTGCCACAGCTAACTGCCCCGTGGAGGTGTCTCTCTAGCCTCTTATCTTACTCCGAATCTTTCTCATCAACCCCTAGTGAAGGCCCATGGAAAAGAGGCTGTGTGGCCAGGCATGGTGGCCCATGCCTGTAATCCCAGCACTTTGAAAGGCCAAGGCAGGCGGATCACTTGAGGTCAGGAGTTTGAGACCAGCCTAGCCAACATGGTGAAACCCCGTCTCTACTAAAAATACAAAATTAGCTGGTTTGGTGGCGGATGCCTGTAATCCCAGCTACTTGGGAGGCTGAGGTGTGAGAATCACTTGAACCCAGGAGAAAGAGGTTGCAATGAGCTGAGATCACGCCATTGCACTCAAACCTGAGCAACAGAGTGAGACTCCATCTCAAACAAACAAAAAAAGTCAAAAGAAGCTGCAAGTCAGTGTAAACTCCACCTAACACACCATTTGTCTACAACACTAAAATTTTGGCTGATTTGAGTCTTACCACGTGTACTGCAGTAAGCAGCACATGGACTTCTGCCTGGACTTTGCTCCACCTGACCCTGCCTATGGGCCCCACCTTTCTGTAGCGGGAGTCTGCCCTCCTTGGAATTTGACTTCTAGCTTGCCTTGCAAACACAGCTCACTGTTGGGTTCAAGACAAGTCATGATGCTGTAGTTTCTCTGTTTGCTTTTTGTTTGTCTCTCTTTTTTTTTTTTTTTCTCATTGTTAGGATGGGGCATGGGGTGTTGCTGGTTTTCTATACTCTGGGCAGGAGCAAATCCTTGCCTGGACTATTGCAAGGGCCATTCACTTGGGCTGGTCACATACACTTGGTCCCACTCTGATCCATTCCCCACACTCTATCCAGAGGATAAGAGTTGAGTTTGATCATGGCCTACCTTGTCTTAGGTCTTTTTGGTGACTTCCTGTCACTCTTGGGATAACCAAATTCCTTTATGTGGCCTAGACTCGGGACTTGCATAAACTCTTATACCTTAATTTGCCTCAAGGCTCCACTTTGTTCTCTGAACAACACCCTTTTGTTTTGTTTTGTTTTGATTTTTGAGACAGGATCTTACTCTGTTGCCCAGGCTGGAGTGCAATGGTGCAATCACAGCTCACTGCAGCCTTGACCTCCTGGGCTCAAGTGATCCTCTCACCTCAGCCTCTCAAGTAGCTGGAACTACAGGTACATGACACCACACATGGCTAATTTTTTTATTTAGTAGAAATGAGATCTTGCTATGTTGCCCAGGCTGGTCTCAAACTCCTGGCCTTAAGTGGTCCTCCCGCCTTGGCCTCCCAGACTGCTGGGATTATGGTATGAGCCACCACACCTGACCTAGCCATTAATTTATCATCTTTCTCTTCCCTCTCGCCCTGCTGGCTCTCTGCCCTTTGACCAGTTTTTCTCTATTCATTCAGGTTTCAGATCCTCTCCTCTTCCCCAGGAGACCTGCCTTGACCCTGTCCCCACCTCCACCCTCCTGCCAAGTGTTCTCCATCCCCCTGGGCTTGGCGGCACTTCCATCTCTCTCTAGTTGTCTGTTTTCATAATGTCTGTCTCCCAGCGAGTCTCTCAGCTGCAGCAGGGCAAGGAGTGTGTTTGTTTCTCCGTGTGCCCCTAGTGTCTACTGCAGTACCAAACCTCTGACTCAATATCACATTTGCTGCTGTTGTGAGTTTCTGTGCATAGCAGCCCTTTGCTGGGCCAGGGAGAGCTGAGAATTACCAAAGAGGTCTTCATTTCTGATGAATGACAGTTTAAAGGACTGGTTGCACCAGCCTCACCTTGAGTTGAACTGGGTGCCCCAGTGCCATCCTGCTGCCACTTGTCACATCCTAGAAGTTAGATACTGGAAATTAGTCTCCACACTGAGTCTCAGGCAGGCTTTGACAGGTAGAAGTGTCACTGGTGAAAAACATTTACACCGTTAGAAGTAGCCAAAGGAAAAGAAGTGAGCCCACCCCAGTTTCATTGACATGATGTTAGGAACAGGAAAAGATTCTGGGATGTTGATTTTGAACAATTACTAACTAGCTCTTTTGTGTTTACAGCTCTGAGAGTCCATCTAAGACTATTCTTTCTTGTGACTTAACATGTTTTTTTGGATCTGAAGACATCGACCTAGTAAAGGACACTGAAGGTGAAATTATTTTTAGTCTCTGGTATTGCATTGAAATATATGTTCGATGGCTTAAAAAATTTTTTTAATCTTTAATTTTTTGGGTACGTAGCAGGTGTATAGACTTATGTTTGATGGTTTTTGACCAGTGTCCACTAGCAGTTACTGCAATGAGTAAGAAAGTAGTTGAAGTTGTATTTAGTGTAAAAGGAGAGATGTTGGTTTTATGTAAAATGAGAATTGCTGTATACTGATAGGTCTCAAAGAAATTAAAAATGCAGGACACCTAGTGTAAGAGTTGAAGAAAGAAGAAAGAAACATGAAACATGGCTTAACAGTCAAAGACAGGTTTTCTTAGATAAATCCTGAGAGGGCCTCATGGCCGATTTCAGTCAGGAGCACTTTCTCTTACAGACTTAAGAGTATATATTGGTTTTAGGGTGAGGGGGCTTAACACAAGCTTGGAATGTTTCTGTGTGAGGGAGAAGTTTCCTGGCAGGGTTGGAATGGGAGGAAGGGGGGGTTATCTTGGGGCAGACATCTTTCCAGCTGGAGTGGGGTTAGCTCAAGGTTAGCATCTTCCCAACCAGGAGTTTGGAATGTCTCTGGTTGGAGATGTTATTTCTGGTTTATGGCCATGTTACCCTTAGCCATTAGGCTGATGCCCTTTGGATTTAGGTGGTTTTTTATTAAGAAGCATTTTTTTTATTTATTTGAGATGGAGTCTGGCTATGTGGCCCAGGCTGGAGTGCAATGGTGAGAACTCAGCTCGCTGCAATCTCTGCCTCCCAGGTTTAAGCCTCCTGAATGGCTGGGATTACAGGCACACGCCACCATACCCAGCTAATTTTTTGTATAGTAGAGACAGGGTTTCACCATCTTGGCCAGGCTGGTCTTGAACTCTTGACCTTGTTATCCACCTACCTTGGCCTCCCAAAGTGCTGGGATTACAGGCGTGAGCCACTGCACCTGGCTAAGGTGAATTTTAGAATGAGGGGCTTGTCTAATAGGGCAATGCTCCTGTTCTGTCACCTAGAACATAGTCCTTGAAAGTAACTGTACCCCAGGGTGTCAGCTCTTAAAGAAATAATGTCTTAAAGTGAATCTTTAGTTGCAGTTGGTGTTGTTATTGAATATAATCTTGTTTATTTTCAGTCTGGAAAAATGTAAGCACTGGAAGTGTAAGCTTCCACGAGCTTCCAGGAAATCACTTTTATTTTAAGAATCCTGCCAACGAGAAGTTCATCAAGAACTACATAACCAAGTGTCTAGAAGTATCATCGCTCGCCAATTTTTAGATATTTTTCCTTTCACTTTTAAAATAATCAAAGTGATATGATATTCTTCTCAGTTATTCAGATGCGACTCATTTTATTCCAATATTAGAAATTATACATTTTCTACTGTCAGGGAGATTCATTATATAAATATATGTATGTATCTAGGGACAAAGGTCAAGCCACTAAAGAATACTTCTGGTAGAGTCTTTTATCTTCGTATTAAAATCTCACTTGATTCTGCTTTATTGGAAATTTGTCAACAAAATTCATGATTGGTAAATTATCCATTTTTTCCTTCAATTAGTTTAATGGGATAGATGATTAAGGGGAAATGCTTGAAGTAAAATCTCATCTTTTCAAATGTAGAATAGCCCCATTTAATAAGAAAACGCAATCTACTGCTTTGTTAAAAGAAGATAGCCCTAAACGAGTCTTGCCACTTTTACAGGCAAGTCCTCAGAATGCATGTACCCCAGCCCTGCCACCCTGCCATGCTCTGCCACCCGGCATCACTGGCTGGGACCTGGGTCCAGTCCTCCCAACGAACAACCAATCTAGAGCCTGGCTGGTGACAAAGAGAGTGGCCAAGCACAAATGCCATGCCTAAGAGGCTGCCTTGGCCTCACTCAGCAATAACTTGAACTTGACTTAGGGAGAAAGCACAACAGCTGGAGGCAAACAAGAACCAAGAGAAAAAGAAAAGCAGAAATAGGGCCCAGAGGCAGCAGCTCAACACCTATAATCCCAGCACTTTGGGAGGCTGATGGGGAGGATTATTTGAGGTCAGGAGTTTGGGAGACCCCTGTCTCTACAGAAGATTTTAAAAATTAGCCAGGCATGGTGGTGTCCACCTGTCATCCCAGCTACTTGGAAGGCTGAGGCTGAAGGATCGCTTAAGCCCAGGAGGTTGAGGCTGCAGTGAACTAGGATCATGCCACTGCATTCCAGCCTGAGACCCTGTCTCAAAAAAAAAAAAAAAAAAAAATCATGTAATAAAGAATTCATGTAATAAATTTAGGCTACAAATAGCCTCAAGCAAATTATGTTAAATGTGTAGTATGTGTTGTACTTTATCCTTTGATCTGATACTATTTCCAGGGCTCCCTCACTGAAAGATTGGTACAAAAGTAATGTGGAGGCTGGGTGCAGTGGCTCACCCTTATAATCCCAGCACTTTGGGAGGCCGAGATGGATCACCTGAAGTCAGGAGTTAGAGGCCAGCCTGGCCAATGTGTCAAAACTCTGTCTCTACTAAAAATACAAAAAAAAAAATTAGCTGGGTGTGGCAACAGGTGCCTGTAATCCCAGCTACTCAGGAGGCTGAGGCAGGAGAATCACTTGAACCCCGGAGGCGGAGGTTACAGTGAGCCGAGATTGCACCACTGCACTCCAGCCTGGGCAACAGAACGAGACTCTGTTCCAAAAAAAAAAAAAAAAAAAAAAAGAAAGAAAAAAAAGAAAAGAAAAAGGAATGTGGATTTGTGATTATTAATTTGCAAAATGTTTAGTCAAGATAGTCTGCAAATTGAAGTTTCATGATGGAACCGATAGGAGGCTTTGGGGGTGAGCTTTTCTCCCTGCATCTCTACCTGGGGGAGGAAAAGTCCACATGGGAACAACTGTTAGGTGTGTTCATGCCCTCAACCGTAAGACACCAGGTCTATCATTGCTGATGTCTTCTCTCTGAAGGATTTAGGCCTTGATATCATTGTGGAAGACTTTTATCATTAGGTGAAATTTAGAAAGATAAGAATTATTTTGATTGCCAAAATTTTCCCTATGAGAAACCAACCTCGATTTTTAAAATTAAACTTTTTGAGCTAACTGCAGATTCCCTTTTATTCGTAAGAAATAATACAGAGACACTGGTGTAGCCTTTACCCAGTTTCCTTTAATGGTAACTGTCATGCAAAACCACAGTGTAATATCACAATCAGGATACTGGTGTTGCTACAATCAAGACAGAACATTCCATCACTTCAGGATCATCCCTCCTGCTGCCCTTTTAAGCCATACCCAGCTCCCTCCTCCAGGGAAACCGCTATTCTGTCCTTTGCATCTGTAAATTTGCCCTTTTAAGAATGCTGGCTGAACATGGTGGCTCATGCCTGTAATTTCAGCACTTTAAGAGTCCGAGGCTGGTGGATCACCTCAGATCAGGGGTTCCAGACCAGCCTGGACAACATGGTGAAACCCTGTCTCTATGAAAAACACAAAAATTAGCCAGCCATGGTGGTACGCGCCTGTAGTCCCAGCTACTCAGGAGACTGAGCTGGGAGGATCACTTGAGCCTGGCAGGCAGAGGTTGCAGTGAGCCTAAATCATGCCACTGCACTCCAGCTTGGGTAATAGAGTGACATCCTGTCTCAAAAAAAAAAAAAAAAAAAGTTTCATAAATGGAATTATACATGTAACATTTGGGGATTGGCTTTTTCTGCTCAGCATAACTCCCTGGAAATTCACCTGTGGATCTACAGAGTTTTGCTGCTCTAGTAACATGAAGATGATCTATTCCTCTTGGTCATGGCATTCCAAACCCACATTTTTACACAGGGAATAGAGCTACGCTGTTTTGGGGGATATTTATCGTATGAGATCTTAAACAATTTTTTGAACTGTTAACATGAGACTATCTTCTTTTGAAGAGCTGTGTACCATCCAGAAAGACTGAGTAGGAGGCCAATATTATATTCCAGACTCTATTTTTACTCTGATAAAACTGAACATATGGGGTACAGTAGTGGTACAGTTTAGATATATTTTAGTTTGCTTTTTTTTTAATTTGTCTTAAATGTAAAAACTGAAAGAAAAACAGACATTTCTATGGTGGCTTTTTAAATTTCTTTAAACCACTATGGACAGACTTGTACATTTCTTTAAAAAATTATTTTCAGGGCTGGGCGCAGTGGCTCACGCCTGTAATCCCAGTACTTTGGGAGGCTGAGGCAGGCAGATCATGAGGTCGGGAGATTGAGACCATCCCGGCCAACATGGTGAAACCCCATCTCTACTAAAAATACAAAAAATTAGCTGGGTGTGGTAGTGCACGCCTGTAGTACCAGCTACTCAGGAGGCTGAAGCAGCAGAATCACTTGAACCCAGGAGATGGAGGTTGCAGTGAGCCGAGATTGTGCCGCTGCACTCCAGCCTGGCGACAGAATGAGACTTCGTCTCAAAAAAAAAATTATTATTTGCAGCTTATTTGTTCTGTTTTATATAACATTTACTCCAATACACGAGTAGGAGGATTATAGCTACCTCTTTCAATTCTTAGAACAGCCCTCTGAGGGTGATATTATTTTCCCTCCTCTACAGATGAGGCTTAGTAAGGTTAAGTAACTTGCCCCAGGTCACCTAGCAAGTTCATAGATGAATGAGGACTGAGGCCAGGTATGGGTCACAGTCTCTGTGTCATGGTGTAAGGAAGGAACAGTCTTGCCACTGATTCTTTCTTTTTTTTTTTTCTTTTTTGAGACAGAGTCTCACTCTGTTGCCCAGGCTGGAGTGCAGTGGCGTGATCTCGGCTCACTGCATCTTCTGCCTCCTGTGTACAAGTGATTCTCCTGCCTCAGTGTCCTGAGTAGCTGGGATTACAGGCATGAGCCACCAATGCCTGGCTAATTTTTGTATTTTTAGTAGAGATGGGGTTTTGCCATGCTGGTCAGGCTGGTCTCAAACTCCTGACCTCGGTGATCCACCCACCTCAGCCTCCCAAAGTGCTGGTTAAGCCGTGAGCCACCTCGCCCAGCCTTGTCATTGATTCTTAATAACCTGTTTTAATTTCACCAGTAACATTAACTCATTGTAGCAGAACAGATGAGCCAAAAGAACAAACAGCTGTCCAAATCTGTGTACATATTACCAGGACGAGACTTCCTAAAACGTCAAAAAACAACAGATGTGGAGAAAAGGGAATTACACACTGTTGGTGGGAATGTAAATTAGTATAACCTCTATGAAAAACAGCGCGAAGATTTCTCAAAGAACTAAAAATAGAACTACCATTCTATCAGCAATCCCACTATGAGTATCTACTTAAAGGAAAAGAAATAATTACATCCAAAAGATCCCTGCTCTTGTATGTCTGTTGCAGCACAATTCACAATAGCAAAGATATGGAATCAACCAAAGTATCTATCGGTGGATGATGGATAAAGAAAATGTGGTATATGTGTACCAGGGGATATTACTCAGCCATATGAAAAGAATGAAATTATGGCTTTTGCAGCAACGTGAGTGGGACTGGAGGCTATTATCTTAAGTGAAAAAACTCAGAAAAAGAAAATAATGATTAAAAAAAAGCCTCAGAAATAAAAAGTAAAATACCACGTTTTCGATTATAAGTGGGAGTTAAACGGTTTGTATACAGGGTCATGGAGTGTGGAATAATAGACACTGGAGACTCAGAAAGGTGGGAGGGGTGAGACGAGAAATTTCCTTTTGGGTACAATGCACGCTATTTGGGTGACAGTTGGATAAAAGCCCAGACTTCCCCACTACGCAATATATCCATGTAACAAAACTGCACTTGTGACCAGGTGTGACCAGGTAGCACTTTGGAAGGCAAAGGTAGGCAGATCACCTGAGGTCGGGAGTTTGAGACCAGCCTGGCCAATATGGCAAAACCCAGTGTCTACTAAAAATACAAAAATTAGCCAGGCATTGGTGGCCCATGCCTGTAATCCCAGCTGCTCAGGAGGCTGAGGCAAGAGAATCGCTTGAACCCAAGAGGTGGAGGTTGCACTGAGCCGAGATCGCACCACTGCACTTCAGCCTGGGCGACAGAGCGAGACTCCTTCTCAAGAAAAAACAAACAAACAAACAAACCAAAACTGCAGTTGGACTCCCTAACTCTATAAAAATAAAAAAATAAAATGCTTTTCTAAAAGAGCTTTTAAGACACCTGGTTTAAGCAAGTACAATTGAGTTAACTATATAGTTTCAGTATACTCCTAAGTATTACAATTCACACTAATAGCAAAAATATACATGAAACATCAAGTTAACAGCGCGTCTCTCCCTCTAAATGTTAGGTCGTGATGGCATTAGGAAGGCTTCAAAAGGAAAAATTCCTCCTATGCTGTATTCTAAATCCCATATTTTTCTATCAGCTCCTTTGCTTTAGAAATATAGGCACTCATCGCATCTTCCGTCGACAACCCTAGAAAGATACAAACAGGTAATCTCCCTGATTGGTGCACTGGGAAATTAGGAAAGTTCGCTTTAAACTTATGAAAGACTAAAAAACCTTTTTGGAGGTTCCATGCTTCCCATTTGGCTTTGCCTTTTAAATCTAGCATTCCTGGACACCCTGGCAAAAGAAGGGGAGATGCATTTGCAAGTTAACGTTTTACTGTGTGCTTCTATAAACTGTTGAAACGTATTGTTAAATTTAAATGATGATATATTACTGTAATATTTATATTAAGTGTAACATATTAATATTAATGATAT